TATCATCAGCATACATTAAAATATTTGAATACTTCAATATTTTTGGAAGGTCATTTATGTATAATAGGAAAAACAATGGGCCCAGTATGCTACCCTGCGGAACTCCCATGGAACAGGGCAGAGACCCGGACACAGAGCTTTCATGTTTCACAACCTGACACCTATCAGTTTGAATGCTTTATAGCGTCACAATGAAAAGTAGTAAATGTAAGAAATTGTTTAATCTAAAAAAAAAAAAACAGAACAAAGTGATACCAAACAGCTGTAAAATAAATGCTCCGTTTAAGAAAAATCTGTAGGAGAATTTTTTATCTGATTAGATTTATTGACAGCAAGAGGAGAGACTGATTCTTCCAGAAATAAAGTTGGGCAGGGGTTCACCAGTCTGCCAATAACTGCCTGTAAAAACAAAGAAACAACCGCAGAATAATCCTTTCATGGGAGGAGTCTCTTACTGTTAAAAGGAGTTTTTCCTCTCCACTGTCACCAATGTGCTGCTCAGAATGGAAGACTGATGAAGTGAAGATTCAGCACAATCTGCTGGCTTCTTTTTTTGTAATGATATAGTTCCCTACTTTCAACATATGATATGTTTACTGTATTATGGATAAAGGAGATTTGCAAATTATTTCATTCTGTTTTTTTCACAACGTCCCATCTTGTTTTGGTCTGACATTTCACAGCAACACATGAACAAACCAAGAAACACAGATCTATAACCCTTTGACACTCTCCTGCTTTCTGCCCACCCAGATCATAATCGGGGAAAGCTACAGGATCTACTTCCTGAACGAGGGCTCCAAGTCGTTTGTGGGGAACCCCTACATTTCTGCTGTTTACAAGCAGGTGGGGGTGTTTGTGTTTGGCTGCGCCATCAGCCAGTCCTTCACCGACATCGCCAAAGTGTCGGTGGGCCGCTTGCGTCCTCACTTCCTGGACGTGTGCATGCCTGACTTCTCCACCATCAACTGCTCCCTGGGCTACATCACAGACTACCAGTGTCAGGGTCCGGAGAGCAGAGTCCAGGAGGCCAGGTGTGACAGCCCGTGCTTCAGGAGCTTTCATGAGCAAAGGCTGAAGGTGTTTCATGTCAGTGTTTGTGCTTCATTAAAGAGCTGATTGTTTGTTCTCAGGAAGTCCTTCTTCTCTGGACATGCGTCCTTCTCCATGTACACCATGCTGTACCTGGTGGTGAGTCCTCCAGCCGTCACTTTACACTTTTCATTCATTCTGAGTTTTAAAACAAAAAACAGTAAAACCCAGAACTCCGCTTCCATTCCAGTTCTACCTGCAGTCTCGTTTCACCTGGCACGGAGCCCGCCTGCTGCGCCCGCTCACCCAGTTCACCCTCATCATGATGTCCTTCTACACCGGCCTGTCTCGAGTGTCCGACCACAAGCACCACCCCACCGACGTCCTGGCGGGCTTCATCCAGGGGGCCTTGGTGGCCTACTGCATCGTGAGTCCACACAGGATCATTTCATGTCCGCAGAACAGGAAGAGCTCAATCAGCTGTCAGCTCATCTTAAACATACACTGACTGGTCAAAACAAAGAGTCACTCTAATATTTGGTTGGACCTTTATGACACACATTCTCTGTGTCACTAGCTGCGTTTCCATTGACCATGAAAATGCGCAAATTAGAATTTCGAAAATAAATTTGCTCAATGGAAACACATCAATTTCGAAAAAAGTTACATTTTTTGACAAAATGTTTTTGCGCTAGGATGAGGTGGTATTTCAGCCGTATCGAAATTGGTGTTTTTCGCAAAACTGCAATGGAAACACTTTTTTCGCATCACAGGAGTCACGTGATCAACAACCGGCTGTTTCTACTGGTGAAAAAGACAACGACGATGAAGATAACAGGAAATAGAAGTAGTAGTAATATCACAGAAGTAGTATAAAATAGTAAACTCACCGACTACAATTTTCCAAAAACACTGCATATGTAGCCGCTCCCAAGTAGGAACTTGTCGCTGGAAAGCCTCGATAAAAGACGCAGACGTCTCCTCTGATGATGAGCGCTAGTGTCGCGGTAGCAACATGCTATGTGTTTACATCCATCGCTGCCATGTTTGTAATGACATCGCGAGAACAAATGTATTCACGCGTGACTTTAATAGCATTTCTGACTTAATGGAAACACCGCAGTTGCGAAACTGTTTTTTCGACATTAGCAGAATATTGACAAAGTTTTGTGCACATTTGCAATGGAAACACAGCTACTGTTCGGATAAACTTCTGCAACGTCACAAGGTTTATTTAATCCAGTGTTGCATTAATTTTTCACCAAGATCTTACATTGATGATGGTAGAGTCTGACCTTCTCCAGCACATCCCAAAGACTCTTCATGGACTCTGTGGAGCCAATCCATGTGTGAAAATGATGTCTCATGCTCCCTGAACCACTCTTTCACAATAAGAGCCCCATGAATCCTGGCATTGTCATCTTGGAATATGGCCGTGTCATCAGGGAAGAAACAAACATTGATGAAATAACCTGGTCAGACCTTAGTTAAATCCTGGTGGACACTTGTTTTTTGACCAAGCAGTGTATTTCAAAAGAACAGCTAATAAATTATTTTAACTGTTTAACTCTTGGAAGAACAGAATTAGAGGCTAATCAGTTCAGTCAGGGTCAGGTCCACAGCCTCACCAGTGGAGCAAACAGAGCAACCTCAACCCACGTTTTTCAAATGAAAGTTCAAACTAACGTCTAAAAACATCTCATCACTCAGCAGAAAGACGAGTGCGGGTAGTTGATATAAATTCAAGTTTTTCTCTTTTAGATACAAACTAAAATACACTTTTTTGGACCAGGTTGCAATATTTTCTGGTATAAAACTGAAATATTGTGTTGCAGAAGATAAATCCTCATCATTTCTCCCTCCTGCGGTTCGTTGCTCAGAGCGATGACTGTAAGCAGCACTTATAACACGCATAAATACAGTAAATGTAAAGCTAAACTTCAGTTCTCCTGACTTCTGGGTTGGTTCTTATGCTGCTAGCTTGCTGTCACACAGCTAAACTCGTTATTTTAATACTTACTCTGAATCAGGCAGAGCGGTTTGAAACACTTAGTCTTTTTAGAACCACAGGATTTCCAGAAAATCATAAAAACTGGAATTTAAGTCTCAATATCTGCCAGGAGATAAAAAATATATATATCTTGGCTAAAGTTGAACAAAATGTTACATCTGGTTTCATTTCTTTATTTAGTCGTAGTAACAGAAACAAAAACATAATATTTTATCTTTGCACATTTCACTACACCAAACAGCCACTAGTGCTGTAAGAAAATAAAGATCCACTGAAAAATCACAATGTCATGTCCTGATACTGAATTGATCTTTAATTAAGGCTTAATGGATGTAATAAGAAATGTGAAATAATTACAGTTCAGTCTTCTGATTGAAATCTGATTTTATGCATGTTGTGCTTTTTGTACAGACTTTTTTATACTGACTTTTTAAATTGGAATCTTTTGGAGAAACAAAAGGCTGAAGAAATTTAGAGTTATTACAGATCAGTACTGATACATTGTTTTGCTTACATTATCACAATATACATAGTGATATGTATCATATCACCAAATACTTTCCAAAAGAGCCATATTTTCTAACCTCACCCATCCTGAAATACAATAAAATATTTTTAATATAAAATCTAATTATTTTAAAAGATTTTAAGTATCATTTTGAGCAGTGAAATAATTGTTTTACCATACAGAGGAGAGAAACGGGGTAAGAAATGGAGTTTTAGAAAGAAATAATGTTTTTTAAAAATCAGCCATTTATTTAAAGTACATTAAATTAGTTTTGATAAATATATTGTGAACTAGCTGTATCTAATGAGGAGCTGCCAACAGGAACATTTTAGTTTTAAATATTAATATATTCTCTCTCCTCCACAGGTTTTCTTTGTGTCAGACTTGTTTAAAGTGAAAGGACGACGCTCCTCCCTGTCGCCTCCAGCAGTGAGGAAAGATCTGCTTCCTGCAGCAGATACCAGAGAGAGAGGCAATCATGTCATCATGGCCTGAAGGAGACCTGATCAGTGACTGGGCACAGAACGGACCTGCGCCTTGTTACAAGTCCTCTCTGCAGCCTCGAGTCCTGACTGGATAGTATGGCGTGGTATGAGGGTCAGAATTAACCAGCGGTTGTAGCGTCCTTGTAGCAGGACAATGTATCTATTCCTAAACCAGCTGTTGATCTGATTAATAATAGGCTGGCACCGCTAACTGAGAGGCCATTGCTGGCAAATGAGGAGACTATTTATTTGTGTTAGCGTCAGAGAGGCTAGCAACTAGCATGGATAAGCTGGTGTTAGCATTGTAGTGGCTAGCAACTAGCATAAATAAGTTGGTGTTAGCATCATAGTGGCTAGCAACTNTGGCTAGCAACTAGCATAAATAAGTTGGTGTTAGCATCATAGTGGCTAGCAACTAGCATGGATAAGCTGGTGTTAGCATTGTAGCGGGTAGCAACTAGCATAAATAAGCTGGTGTTAGCATCGTAGTGGCTAGCGACTAGCATGGATAAGCTGGTGTTAGCATCATAGAGGCTAACAACCGTAGATATCAAAGACAATCATATTGAAATATGAAAAATATTTGTAAATGACATTATAAATTATAATTCAACATAGAGAAGCCTGATTTAATGTCCTGTCAAAATCTGTAAAAAGCCTCAACTTGATAGTTTTCTCATAATTCGGCTAAAGAGAAAAAAAGAAAAGTTAGCGGTGTCAGTCTCTCATTAATCAGATCAACAGCTGGTTTAGGAACAGATATAACCTCCTGCTACAAGGATGTAGCAATGGTTGTGCAATAGTCTTAATTTTGTCCCTCATACCATGCCGTAGGATTCTGCAGACCTGATTGGTGGCTGCAGTCAGGTCTGGTGTCCATGAGAGAACAAAACTCTAAGAATCACAGACTGTAGAGGACAGACGGCAGCCTTCTTCTTCTTCCTCTGTTTTATCAGACTTCTGAATGTGGGAAAGGAGAGATGACCTTTTTGTTTTGTTTTATCCCATCTGAGAACTGTTTGACCTTCTCTCCATTGTCGAGGCGTTTTCCTGGACAAAAGTCGGAAATCAAGCCGAACGTACAAACGGCAGCTGTAAACAAAGCTTTTATGGTTTCACCTCAGGAGCAGGGGCTCCTCATATTCCTGCCCCTCCTTGTGACTCATGTTAGCTAATCAAGACAAAAGAAACAAATTCCTTTCGTTCAGGGAGGATTTGTTTTCGTTTGGTTGTGTGTGATTTATATTAGTTCATGTTGATGGAGTTTTGTTACCACTTTAAGGACTTGCCTTTGGGAAGCTGTGGCGTTCCAGTAGACGGTGCTCACCGGGCACCGTACGCAGAGACTGCAGAAAGACTGATTGTGGGCCTCGTTCTGCTGGCTGGGATGAGCCCCCCGCTGAGCCATTTAATGAAACGACTGTCTTTTCTACTTACAGGACAGCTGCTCACACGTGTTCGCTCAGAGTGTGTGTGCTTGTGTTTTTATCTGTTGAAAAGTCAAGTCCACAGATTTCAGTGTTTACGACCTGCCAGGAAATAAGAGCACATGCTTCAGCAGAAACATGGAGACAGAAATGCTGCTTTTTGGCTTTTAATCTCTGCAGGAGCCTGTTATTATCATAAAACTAAATTAGCATAAATGTTTTTGACTTGTTGCAAACTACTAGCAAGTGTTAAACTGAATAGACTGATCTGTTTGCATGACTTTAACCGTAGTAAACCACTGCCTGAACGTTACATCTGGTTTAAATGAACTGAAACTGAAAGACGGCATCAGCAAGTCCACTGGGCCTTATGATTTATAAAGTGTGTGTGTGTTTGTGTGTGTGTGTTACCATGACGCTCACTATCATGTTGTGTTGAGACCTGTGTAAATGTACAATATCATAAACAACAAAGCTGTCAGAACGGACAGCTTTTGTTCATTTTTATCAAATCTTTTAAATATTTTTGTAATGTGAAATTTTATACAATAAAGCTGTATCATAGACTGACAGTGTACATTCAATTTTAATGTTTTTGCTTCATTCAAAGCACCTTTTCTTAAACCGTGTCACATTTTCTCACTCAGGTTTAGTGTGCTCTGACTTTTTGCAGCTAAAATTAGTCAAATTCAACACGACGCCAAGTACTTTGACAAAAAGAATAAGAAAACAGCTCAGTCTGGAGCTCTTCAGCTCAGACATTATTTACATCTTTCAGTGGTTAAAAAGTTTATTGACTGCACTAAATCTTTTATGTTTTTTCACAGTTTAAAGTGGATCATTTTACCACAGGATGTTAAATATACAGTATTAAAGTGTCTGTGGCATATGCATCCTTCAAATACTAAAGCTCAACATCTTTATATTTCATAATGTAACATAATATGCATGATTTTTCCAATTTTTGTCACACAACTGGCAGATTTTCTTTTATTTTAAGCTCAGCCAAAGTGAAACAGGAAATGACATCAAAGGGGAAATACTTAAGAAAACTCTGGTCTTTGTTTATTGAAACATTATTTGCACTCTGACTTTTCAGCTTTACGGCTCAAAATAATCTCAACATCAGATTCTTCTCTACAATCTGTGTTGTCGGCCATTTTAGCAACGCTCTGTTCGCCTGCAGGCATTCCCCTATGACATCACATCCTGTTATTTCACATGCAACTTTCTCAACAACGATCCATCTCAGCTACATGAATTTTTTTTTGCAATATGGTATTAATGTTATCTGTCAAAAATGGCTTTTTATTCCAGAAAATTAATGTCACAGGTACTTTAATGTCATATGAACATTTTTATCCAAAAGTTTTTAGATTCTAGTGAACAAACTCATTTTATTCCAACAAACTTTAAACATTTTATACAAAAAACTCATCCAAACGTAGACTTGTTGTTTTCTTTCATCCAGTCTGTCTCTGACAGTTAGGTTACTTAAGATTTTTTACTTAAATCCCCTCAGAGCAGCAAGTCCAAACATATAAACTCTCTTCATCATATTCAGCCACTGGCAGCAGTTTTAACATTATTTTTTATCCTTTTTTTATTTTAAACACTTCTGCTGTTTTTTGTCCAAACGTTGGCGTACCGTCAGGCTAGATTACAACGAAACTAAGTCCCAGATGACTGTTGGGTTGATGGTAATTGGACTTCAGCAGCATCTTTCAACAGTTTTCAGAAATCTTCCAGGTTTTCGTGTGTTTGTGTTTGGTTTCTCTGGCTGGGCAGGTTGGCGTGTGATGGAGCGATTTGGGTGTGGGGCAGAGGTACTCTTCCATGAGCAGCTTCCTGTGGGGAAATAGTGTACATTCCAGGTTTTAACCCCGCTCCACAACGGCCCTCTGCAATAATACAGACTCCACACACAAACTACGCCAAAGTGGTAAATTACAGTCATATGTGAACAAAGACGTTCCAACGCCTCTGAGTCACCGTTAAATGTACATTTAAGTACGTACAGGTTGGATCGTGATGCATGAAGGGAGTTTACATGACTGAGTTCTGCTGTGGATCAGACTCCACGCTCAGATTAGAGCTGACTTGTTTAATAAGCTGTAAAAATGTGTTTTGATCACGTGACCAGTTGTCATCCAGCCACATTAAAACACTTTGACTTCCTGTTCAAATGTCCTGACTGTCAATCCAAAACACATCTTACAGTGTTAAAGTGAGTTTGTAAAGAAAAAAAATCTTCAATCTTTTTTTTATCATCACAAAATCTCAGCTCAGTTTTTCTTAAACAGCTCAGTAAAGCCATTTTGAGTTGACAGCTAGCTTGATTTTTCGAATCTAGTTTTTTCTTTATTTGTATAAAGATACCCCCATCCCCCAAAAAATATTATTTAACAACAAACAAACAAATAAATAAATAAATAAATAAATAAATAAATAAACCTTGGCCACCCCTTGCAAAAAGAGCCTAGCTCCGCCCCTGTATGGACCTGAAACTGTCATTAACAAGGATCAGTGATGCAACTCTAGAGGCCACTGTTTGGAGGACTTGATAATTAAAACTGAGAGACTGCAGTCTGAGAGAGGTCTGATGGATTTGGTACCTTGAGCTGGGGAATGATGGAGAGGGAGTTTATTAT